GGTGAAAAGTGTTAGGCGTCCAACAATAAAAACCCACACATGTGGTGTTATGTGGTCCTAAAACTTCTCTTACGAAACAAAATCCAGAGACAGTGTAGTCCAGCTACGCCGTCCTGTATTGAGAATCGTATGGTTGGTATGGTACTTAATGTATTGTGGGTGGATGTAAAATTAAAATCGGAGATGTGTGGGACCCAGAGGCAGCCGCTTTGGGGGGTGGTCGCGGGAGAGTCCCAGGAAGACCGTCTAGGACCTGCTAGGTATATCAGAGACGGAAAGTGTGTATAAAATAGGGTCCAATAGAAGGTAGCAGTGACACACGGAGATAGGTGGATGTCAGCAAATTTTTTTAGGGAGAGGTATTCAATTTGTAATAAGGGGGCATGGGTAGGAGATGTTATATATAGAGGTGTGTTGGTTATAATAGTGTGAGTAATCGTGTGTAAATCTAGGGATGCTCACTAATAAGTATGGAGGTATGGAATCCTGAAGGACGGTTCCTAGATGTCTAGTTGTACGTAAAACTGTCTTGGGAAGGCATCAATGGGAATCTATGTAGCAGGATGTGGCATATTCATACATTTACATCACTATAGTAGCACAAGATAAACAGTATACACTAATAGTAAGTTTCCTTCTGTAGTTGTCCATGAGCCGTAAAGTGCGAACACAAAAGACAATGCGAAAAGGTCTCCTTATACTGTGTCAGTTCAGACTTAAGATATCAGCCTTATATGAAACCTTACAAGGAAACAGGAATTGGATGACGCAGTAAGATTAAGATTCAGGGATGCAGGCGGGGGCAAACCATCTGGATAAACTGCATCCCTGAAACCCTGACAGAAGAGGAATGTTGGCCCCAACCGAGGCGTGCAGCAGGCCGCTACCACGGGTGCAGGTCAACCCCAGAATTAGCGAGGTTGTAATAAACCGCTTGAGTGGCATCGTGATTCTGTGGCCTGTTGAGAGCGTGGTCTATGATAATCTAAAATTAAGCCCCATGTCCAATCGCTGACAAACTCATGTAGACTTCACCTCCGCAACATCTCCAAGATACGACCGTTCCGAACCTCGGAAACCACTAAGCAACTTATTCACTCCCTTGTTATATCACGCCTTGACTATTGTAACTCCCTCCTCACTGGCCAACCTCATCGCAGGCTATCCCCCCTCCAGTCCATCATGAATGCTGCTGCCAGACTCATTCGCGGCCAAACGGGAATCTCCAGCGATATGCTATACCCCTGGAACGTAATAGATCCAGTAGAGGGAGTAAACCCTTTCTGCGTTGTAAGGTGAGATGGAAGAGATCTTGAAATAATTTGATTTCTGCTCCATTATATGTCACGCGGTTTCGATCTCGCGCTCTGAGTAATATTTCTTCCTTGAGTCGGAAGTCGACTAAGCAGCAAATTATATCTCACGGGGGATCAGTGTCCCTACCTTTAGGACATAGAGCTCTATGGAGGCATTCGATCTCAATCGGAGACTCCTGTGGCCTTTTCAAAAGATCATTAAAAATGGTTAAGATCGTTTGGGTGAGTTGGTCCGATTCAGTTGTTTCAGGGACACCACGTACCCTTAAATTGTGTCGTCTTCCCCTGTTGTCCAGGTCCTCGATATGACGATCAAGCTCTCTTAGGTGCATAGTGTGCGTATCTACTAGCTTGCGTGTATCATGGATGGCAAGGTCTTGTGTGATAACTTTATCCTCCTGCTTCAAGCCTTTGGGCCACTGCCTGCATATCGATATGTAATTCTGCAATTGCTGCAGAGAGGATCTCTTTAATATCTGATGCTACTGCTTTCAGATCCCCTATAGTGAGAGGGGAGGCTGCAGAGCGGCAGGCTGAGGGTGCTGCGGCTGGGCTCCTGATCTGCGAGCGGGGACTCTCTGTGAAGCGAGTGGGAGGAGGCAGCAGGGGAGGGGGCTACAATGTGTTCTGGGGTCTGGGACCGGAATAAATCCGGAATGCTGTGGCTGGCAGGTCCGGTCGTCTGGTTGGGAGACCGTGATCATGGGGCGGAGGGTCTCCTATCTGCTTTCCCCATGTCAACGTTGTCCTCCCTGCTGTGGTCACGTGTTTCCACCTCCGTGTGTCAGGGCTCCGGGGAACTAAGCTGCCATCTTCTCCGGGATCAAGTCACGCCCCCCCAGTAATTATAAACTTGTAGTATATGGTCTCAATGAAGGCCAAGGGCCCAAATATAGGCCTTAGACTGTATGGGGAGGCCGACAGGCACAGGGGCTGTAGAATTCTAAAATCCCTGGGGTGCTGGCTCCAGAGCCCTTCAGATGGGGTGCAGGAAGCACTGCTTTATCCCCAGGTGGCTGACTGTTGCCTCAACAGGCCTTCAGGCCTAGCAGGGGCCATTTAATAGCTTCCTTTAAGTGAGGATCCTCAAGGCCTTAACTGCAGGCCGCAGTCCCCTGGGTCCGGGTGAGGGGGCCTGATGGTCTGGGTGGGGAGGCCTAACAGTTGTACAGACTCTCCCACCACGGACCGCACTCACGTGTCCCTTGGCTGGGCGCGAGCCTGGCGTCCACTGAGGCCTCAATAGGCCGCAACAGGCCGCGATGGTCCGCTGCCGCGGAGAGGATTCAAAGCACTCTGTTCCCCTCCGCCGAGTACCATCAGGGACGGCGGGACCTCCGGGGAGCTCTGTCAGTCCGCTGCCGCCAGGATGGCAGCGGATTCGGTGGAGATGTGGCAGAGCTCTGGATTATGTGGCCGCTCCGGTTGTCATCTTGGACACGCCCCCCTTTTGTAGAATGTTTCGTGGCCATCCTTCCCCTTCAGCACACTCCTGAAGAAAGACTTTTGTTCTGAAATGCGTCTTTTCAGCGGAAGTTTAGTTGCCCTTCAGTTTCTTCTGGCTTACAGGAGAGGGTGAACACCAGTTTTTCAGCCTACGGCAAGTTTACAGGCATTTTCTCCATTTCCTTCCATGTATGATTTTAACATTTGTGTAACGTGCCGAATTATGATGTTTCACAACAATTTTGTAATAAAACGATTTGCATGTTTATATCATTTGTCTTGAGTTGCCTTAAAAGTCCCAGTACAAATTGGACATATCTTTGGGTACATAGCCTTTGGGATCTTGGCAGCTAGAGAATGAACCCTGTGCTGGATCCACATACTGTAGTTATATTAGGGGCATTGAACTTGGATGGGGTTGGGGGGTGTATGGGATGCCCATGGGAATCGCAACTGAGGACAACTCCTTGGCAACTATGTACAAGTCTCTACAGCAAACAGGGGTTTCTTCCAGGAGAGCTCTCCAGCCTCTCCTGATGTACCACCCCAGATGAATCCTCTCCTCATCCAGCTGTACTGGGTCAATCCCTGGGCAAGGGTACCCAGAATCTGTCTCTGCAAATCAACAGTCCCAGATGAGGACTGTTCAGGTTTCCCAAACAAATGCCTTTTCCCCTTAACTGGTCCAGGGGATGTAGGACTACTCACTCTTCCTCTCCCATGAGCTTGTTGCATTGGTAGCTGCCTTCAGGCCTTCCACTGGTCTGGCTCCTTCCCTGCTGCACAGGTTGTCTTCTCTCAGGGGACTACTTAGATTGAGAGATCCTCCTTTCAGTTTCAGCCTGGAGGTAGGACCCCTTATCACTGGGCCCCCTCCCAGGCTTCTGCATCCCAGCCTCTCACTTTATCTCCCACCCAAACTCTCCTGCTGCTGAGCAGGCTCAGTCATACTTAAGGGCTGACCTGACCCCATGCCAAGTCTCCTGCCTGGGTCAGGATCTCTTAAGTATGAGGACCAGCCCCTCCTCATCCCCACCCATTGCCTTCTAGAAACCTCTCAAGTCTCTAGAGCAGAGGGAGGTCTCGGGAACTGATCTGCAGAGCCATCAGCCCTGACCTAAATTGTCCTGGCTGACTCATGCCCAGGTTGCTACTCAGCCTTTCTTTTTGCAATTAAAACTAGCTCCACCTGCCTATCTAGAGGGGTGCTACGTATGTTTTACCGCCTCCCACCTGCCATATAGTAATATGACGGGCGCAAGGTTATTCTCTCGTTCTGGGAGGACGTCATATGACGTCCCCCCATTCTAACCACGCATGCGTGGCTCCCGGAGCGCACAGTGCAGCGATCGGCGGCAAATCTCCAATCCACGGAAAGAGCCAAAGATGTCGGTTTGGTCATGTGATCAGCTGTGTCCAATCACAGTTGATCACATGTAAACAGGGTAATGCCGGTTATCGGCATTTCTCTCCCCACGAGCTGTCACACTGACAGAGGGGAGGAGAGCCGGTAATCGGCATTCCTCGGAGGGGACATGTACACTGATCATCAGAGCACTTATGATCAGTGTGCCCTGATGATCTGTGTAGCCCCAGCAGGGCCACCTGTCAGTGTCCATCAGTGCCAGCTGTCAGTGCTCATCCATGCCACCTGCCAGTGCCACATCAGTGCCATCTGAGCTGCCTTTCAGTGTCACCCATCAGTGCCACCTATCAATGTTAGTCAGTTCCACCTATCAGTGCTGCCAATCAGTGCCACCTATCAGTGCCAGTCAGTGGCGCGTATCAGTGTGCATCAGTGCCGCCTATCAGTGCCCGTCAGTGCTGCCTAACAGTGCTGCCTTTCAGTGCCCATCAGTGATGCCTGTCAATGCCCATCAGTGCCACCTACCAGTGCCTCTCCTCATCAGTGCCACCTGTCAGTGTTCATCAGCACAGCCTATCAGTGCCCATCACTGCAGCCTCATTAGCGCACATCAGTGAAGGAGAAAAATCACTTATTTACAAAATTTTATTACAAAAACTAAAACTTTTTTGTTTCAAAATTTTCAGTGGTTTTTGGTTTGTTTAAGAAAAAATAAAAAACCCCGAGGTGATTAAATACCACCAAAAGAAAGCTCTATCTGTTACAAAAAAAATGATAAAAATGTCATATGGGTACAGTGTTGCATGACCGCGCAATTGTCATTGAAAGTGCAACAGCGCTGAAAGCTGGAAATTGGCCTGGGCAGGAAGGGGGTAGAAGTGCCCTGTAGGCAGGTATAAGTGTCCTGTAGGCAGGAAGGGGGTAGAAGTGCCCTGTAGGCGGGAAGGGGGTAGAAGTGCCCTGTAGGCAGGAAGGGGGTAGAAGTGTCCTGTAGGCAGGAAGGGGGTAGAAGTGCCCTGTAGGCAGGAAGGGGGTAGAAGTGTCCTGTAGGCGGGAAGGGGGTAGAAGTGTCCTGTAGGCGGGAAGGGGGTAGAAGTGCCCGGTAGGCGGGAAGGGGGTAGAAGTGCCCGGTAGGCGGGAAGGGGGTAGAAGTGCCCTGTTGGCGGGAAGGGGGTAGGAGTGCCCGGTAGGCAGGAAGGGGGTAGGAGTGCCCGGTAGGCAGGAAGGGGTAGGAGTGCCCGGTAGGCAGGAAGGGGGTAGGAGTGCCCGGTGGGCAGGAAGGGGGGTAGAAGTGTCCTGTAGGCAGGAAGGGGGTAGAAGTGCCCGGTAGGCAGGGAGTAGAAGTGCCCGGTGGGCAGGAAGGGGGTAGAAGTGCCCGGTGGGCAGGAAGGGGGTAGAAGTGCCCTGTAGGCGAGGGGTTAAAAATGTTCTTTCTTTTTATAGTCACGCCATCCCTCCTCAGAAGCAAACATGGGCATGCAATCTGGCAGCAAGGGGTGGACTAACAACTCATGGGGCCCCCGGGCAATAGGGGATCATGGGGCCCCTGTGTCCTTGCCCAAACTCAAAAAAAGCCTATGAAAAAAGGTACCAGGGGCATCTCATAGGGCCCCCTACTGACCCTGGGCCCTCAGGCAGTGCCCAAGTTTCCAAATGGTCAGCCCACCCTGCTGGCAGCCACCTTAAAAAAAAAGAAATCTGAGGCCTTAACCCCACCATGCCTCTGTACAAAAATTTAGAAAAAAAGGTTTACTTGTCCCACCTTGTAGTGAGAGCTGA